TTGACTTCAGGTTTCACAGAGGGGAGGAGGAACATCAAATCGGAAAAAGTCGACAGAGGTAGATGAGAGGTGAGGTGAGTACTGTGGAAGCAGTTGAATATGACATACAGTGGGGGTGATAGTGGTTTGAAGTCAGAAATCAACTGCCGGTTAATAGACTTTATTGCCGTATGAGTATACGTTGCCCAGGTTGCACCACGTGGAGGTAAGTCTATCGTACACCCCATGTTTCATAATAATAATTTGCTAATTGTGAGTCTACTCATACCCTCTCTGAATTTAATATCTATGGCAGCAATTGAACACTGGGAGTGAGAAAATATGCATTAATTGGAATTATTAAAAAAAATAATAATTGAATATATTGAAGTGACTGGATTATGATCATGTACCGTCGTGTCTAATCATATAGATTATATGAGGTTAGCGTAAATACAAGCTAAGCACGATAAATTAGGTTAAATGAGAGTGGTTATTTTAGTTAATTCGTTTGCTACTCTAAATTAATTGAATCTCTCTCCTAAGTCGAGAGAGAGAGAGAGAGAGAGAGAGAGAGAGAGAGAGAGAGGTTCTCAAAGGCCTTTAATTAGCATATTTGATCATTTACTGGAATAAAGAAATTTGATTACGAAAGTACTCCTTATCAAAGCCCAAGAAATAAAGATAAACACCTTGACCTTTGGTTCAAGAAGATCCCGATGAAAGTTGGCCCTTGCCAGCCATTGGCTGTTCATCCTATGAGGGATCTCACCAGCCAGGTTGGATATTAATGGATTCTCCTTGTAATTTGGGCAAACGATTGGCGTGCTTTAGAGGTTTTAATTTGCCTTTCATTCAATAAATAATAAATCGAAAAAAACAGGAATTATCTGCCAATCAATCATTATCATGGTGATAAGCAATTTATAGACCGAAATGAATAAAAAGAAAATGAAAACTCATTTTAAAATATTATACAATTTCCAGTTCTACAAATTCCCTGCTGTCTAATAGTAGTTTGCTAATCTATTCAGTAGAGAGTATCACTGATTTAGTCTCCACTGTAATTTCCGACCGTACTTGTTTGGAATTAGTTACTTTATCAGACATTGCAACCCAGTACTCACGTTTCAAATTTCTACTTAGATTTCATGTGCGACGAAGAAGGGCCTAAGAATATCAGATTCCAGGTTGTCTTTGTTGCTTTGGAGACTGAAGCCCAGCATTAAATATTGGGAACATTGTGCTCTATGGCGAAGGAATTAGATAAATAACCCTAAAAGATTAAGCACCCTGATGGCGTGCCAATCAACATGCATACACGCGGATTAACGGATTTAATGCCTTGTGGGCGATGTAAAATTCACTAGATATGTCTCTTTTTTGTAGATACTCTTGATCAAATGCACAAGCCACTGTGGTTCGAGAAGGTAGTTGACGAAGACACGGGTCTGGCGACCATGAAGTTTAATGGAAAATACTGGAAATGCAAAGAAAAAAACGACTGGTCTATGTGTCCTGATCTCTACTAATCTTCACTTTGTCGATCTTTCACCAACACGCAAATATGTAGAATTTGTCCTCACTCTTTTTTCTGTGTCTTTATATAGAGTTTATAACCAGTCTAAGATGACAATCCTGTGCCCACATCATCTCCTAATGTTTCCCTTTTACTTCATTCTTCCCCTCATTCCTTCCTTTTGAGCAGCAATCTAGCTAGAAAAAAAGGAGACTGTCTTTTAACCTCCTTCATATCTGTAATTGACTTTCGATGATGTGCTAAGATATATACCATGTGATAATATTTAAGCAAAGCATTCGCGTTTGTTTCATAGAAATTTATTGTGGGTAATGTGACATTGAGGAATCAATTGTCAATGTAATCAAAGTTCTCGGGGATTTGGAACTGCTTCCTAAGAAGAGATTCATCTAGACCGAACTTGTTTTTGATCCAACTGATTATTTGGAAAACGTTATCTATCAAGTAGTTAGCATGAAGACTAAAGGATTACTACCTGTCCACCTGTTTGCTGAATCGATCGCGGAATCAGATTGGGATTTCAGCTCTCCTAAACGCGAAGGATGATAACGTTGAAAGTTTGAGAAATCAACCTTAATCTTTTCAAGGATCAATTGACTTGAACTCAACGAAGATATGGCTTGCTGCCGTTCGGCCTACTAAAAGATAAGCAAATTACAAAAGTTCCACAAACCGTGTCCTCTTTACTTGCCCGAGCCTTTGAGAGTGCGTCTTCTAATTCATAATAACGGGATTCAAGTTGAGAGGCCTCCGCTTGTAACTCGCTAATCTTTTTGCGTCGCTAAGGCCAATGGCGTTAGGTAGAGAAGGCTTACATTCTGACCAGCTTTACTAGGAAATGCCCAAAAATATGTAGACGTGCCAATTTTATCAGAATCAACAAGACCATCAAATACAAGACTCATTAGGACGTCTTTGACTGTCATTGACGGTATTCCCTTTTCCTTATGACACAATCTTTCTAGCTCTTTAAGAGTGTAAAAATCTTTCTAAACAATGAATCTAATCATTTAAATTACTTTTTCATAAAAAAACTCAATCATCTTGTCGCGTTTTTCATCAAGAGATAAACCACGTTTTCTCGACATTACGCTTATATGTTGAATCCACCAGCCAGAAATATACCAATTTATAGAATAGCATTTGAAGGTCATAGTCAATGCTAGGGAAATTAATTCAGTAGTCAAATACCATTATAAGAATATTTGCATAAATTTAATATAAAATGGGAAGATTTAAGACTATTTGAAAACCTGCCATTATAAAATTACAAATGGAGCAACGAACCAACCAAATAATTTGTTACATTTTGAAGAGCTTATCAAGTGATTTGCATCTCAATTAAACTTGTCATAAATCCGAATTATCCAATGGTAGTTTTTGAATTCGATAAAAACAATTGATGAACCTGAAATCACCTCGATGATGAGCCACCACAGGAATGTAAAGGTGGAATTTTATGCAATTTATGCTTGAATTAAGAATTGTACTATTTTTCTTTTTTTAGGAGGTTCCCACACAATATTGTTGAGATTCGTAATCAATTCACAAATCCAGATTTGAAAGTAAAATATGGAAAATTTAAAGATTAGAGAGTGTGAATGGAACCAACTTTTTTATGTAATAAGTTCAAATAAATTTGACTTCAAATTATCTTGCGCAAACAATATGTAGGTTTCAGCATTAAGGTATCGCATTAATTATTCCTGAATATTTCTAGTTTCCTTTTTTGAAATTGGTTTTATTGTAAAGTTCCAAATCAATATGAGATTGTTAATCATTAGAATAGATAGATGTCGGATTAAGAATATCCTCAGAATTCAAACACTTACAATGATCATTGCATTTCAGAGTTTTTACTAGTGACGTCGAAACACGAAAAATTTTGATTTTGCAACCAACTAAACTTAATTTTGCTTAATTCATTTCCATGCATTAAGTGCATGTTTTATACAAGATAGGAAATATAGCTGCCTATTTCACATGCAGTGAAATTTTCTAAAAGATTACATTCGAAGTTCGAGAAAGTGTAGAAACTTTGGGTCTTAAAGCGAATAATTTTCTATTTGTCATATAAATTCTTCAGCTTCAGTTGATTAATTTCTCAGTCAAATTACATCTACAAGCACTAAATGGCACCCATATTTTCCCATTCCTTATTTTAATATGAGGCATAACTAATGACTTTTTTAGCCTAAAGCGGTAATATTTAAATACCTTATTCTGCAATTTGTATATTTGGTCCCTTAATTCAAGCCTTTATCAAGGTTTTAAGTTTATGTTCGTATGACCTTATTTTAAGCGAAATTATATATCGAATCTTTTATTATCAAGTCTTGTTGCAAAATTAGAAAATAATGTCTTTGTATATACGAAAAATTTTAGTCAGTTTCGTGAAAGGGCCAAATCTATACCAAAACTAATTATATATATTCCAAAGTAAAATATTTTACTTCTGTATTATCGCATATGCGGTCGCAAAAATAGTTTCTTGAATTTTCAGTTGAGCAGCTCTGTGCGGTCTATCGGGAAACAACGGAAATTATGAAAATATCAACAAGTATCAAAGATGAACAAGTTACTGAAGGTAGATCGAATATATAAAATATTTTTGACTGTTTTACTAGAAAATAGGTCAAATATGCTATATATTATTATAACAAATGAAATTTAATTAATAAACCTTAGGATTCATTAAAAATAAAATAATTAGTCCTATTTCATTTTTATCATTGTTAAATTATGTCGATTCTACTCAGCGAAGACTAAAAATACCCAAAATGAACATATTTGTTTTAATTACACTTTAGACTTGGGCGGTGTGCACTTTTGATAAACTAGAACGTGAGATGGCTCGTACGCAAAAAGTCAAGCGTGCTGTGCGCAAGGACGCCGTTACCCGTGAATATACTATTCATCTTCACAAACGCATTCATGGTGTTGGATTTAAGAAAAGGGCTCCTCGTGCTTTGCAGGAAATCCGTAAATTTGCTCGTAAAATGATGGGCACTGAGGATGTTCGCGTCAATGTGCGATTGAATGAGTAAGTTGTAGTTATTTTGAAGTGCATATTATCCGTAGGTTTATATGGTCAAAGGGAGTTCGTAATGTTCCCTATCGAGTTCGCGTCAAACTAGCGAGAAAACGCAACGAAGACGAGGATTCCCCTCATAAGTTCTACACACTTGTATCCTACGTCCCTTGCGCTGACTTTAAAGGAAAGCAGAACATCAATGTAGAACCAGAAAAGTGAATTAAATAAATTGCTTGCAAATGGTTATTTCGTTTTGGATATGTAGTTATTCGTAGCTTTAGTGTTATTAGTCCATTTTGGTATATACTAATTAGCGGTATCGCGTTAATCTTAGTACCCTTCGTTTGGACCAGATAGATGGATGGCAGGCAGAGCACTGTGAGTTCTTATTTTAAATTCCTTATAATGTTAGCAGGTGTTCAAATAAGAATTTTTTATTTTAGTCTATTGATCGAATGCCATGGCTTGTTCGTAGACATATTGTCGACTGTTTAGATTATGCCAGCTGGTTTCAACTACAGTCTGTTTTCTCGCGGTATAAAAGTCATCCACCAACTCATTTAAAATTTGACAGTTCTTATGCGTACGAAAATGTATGGAGCTCGACGAAACTCAGCAGGAATGTTCGCATTAGTCGAATCACGGAAGACGAGTTTTATGGTGGAATTGTTAAGCCAACAGGTTCGATTGGTGTCCTGTTGCAAATGCTCAAGTTTAGTCCACGTAGTTTTCACAGCCTAACTGTTCTTGATATTAGTTATCAGATTATTAATAGGCATCAAGTATCTGAATTGTTTTCCTCCAGCACTGCTTCGATATTTTGTCAGGTCAAGTCAGTATCGCTTCGAATTTCCCTTGAATCGGCCAGCGATGTTCGAGGTCCAAATTTGGCCTTCTCCCCTCCTAATTTGGAGAACCTTACTTTGAATCTAATGCACTGGCGAAGTAATGATTTCTCTGATATTGATTCATTAGTTCCTCTTATTATTAATGCTAGAAAGCTAAGTTTTATTTTGGACTTGCCCTCCGACTTATTAACATTTTTTGATGGTCAAGGTCCGTTTGAAAATGTGGTGGAATTAGAGGCAACCGACCATAATCTGTCGCTTATAAGATCTATTTATACTAGATTTAATGAGAATTTTCCTCGGCTGAAGAAAATTGTCATTAAAAATTGTTGCATAGAGCGCACCTTTGAGATATACCCTGAATACTATGCGTCTATCTCCACTAAGCCTGTGGTTTGGTGTTCGAGTGCAGCTTCCCGTTTTAGAGAATTTGATTCTGTAAGAGATATTCTTTTTTTTGGCGACGAAGTGGTTGATGTATCAACATTACACAAGTGTGTTAACGCGACGGTCTTTACTTGGTTTATGCGAGGATGGTCTTGCTTTTGGCATGATTTCCTACGAAACATTCATATACTGAGGCCACTTCGGCGTCTAAATGAGTTCAAGCTTCCTCAGCAGATGTTTACGGCCTGGTCGGAGTTTGATTCCTTTCGGTTCGAGTGCCGTAAGTTTACTCGGACTTTCTGGACATTTCCCTCCGTGCAGTCTCTACATTTCATTCCTGCAAATCGACGTGTCGTTGTAAGCGATTTTCGAGCACCTGCATTCCCCCATGGTGAGAAAGCTGATGAACTTTTGCGGCACATGTTCGACATTTTTCCAAACGTTAAGACATTGAGTATTGCCCCTGTGCCTTTGTTAGAAGGAGGTGAAGTATTTCGTTATTTGACTACCTCAACCAAGCTCACTGCCTTAATGATCCTCTATACTAAACGCATTCAACACGGAAGTCTTGATGGTCGTTTAAAGTTTTATATGTGGTTACCTGCCACCAAAACACTAGATGCCTTTCTCTTCTACACGGATCAGGTGTTCTGGATCAATGAGACGGACGGAATGGGCCTTCTGGATTGTCTAAAGAAAAATACTAGTCTGCGTTATGCGTGCATTATATGTGATGTGCCCAAATGTCTCGGACGTATTGGTCTGACTGGGAAAGTGGTGGAAGAGATCGGATCGACCTGGTACAATGAGCAAAAGGGAGGATCTCAGGGTCGTTATCTTCTCTTTGTCTTTCGTCATCATGGCCGCTTCTCCTGTCTGGCTGTGAAACCAAGGACGAAGAAGTGTCGAAAGTCGTACACTTTTGAGCGGAACAGCTTTTCTACATGGCATGGTCTTGAATGCGCCTATCCGGAATTATATTCAGTGTTCTGGCGTCATTTAAGGCATCATATTAATTTTCGTTAGTGACCGGTTTCTGATCTAATCTCTTCTTGTGCTTCAACTGTTGTCTTTCCGTATATTAGTATAATATATTTTGCAATGTCTTTCAAAAGTTTTGCTCGTTACTAATGGGGCTGAGGGAAAAGCAAGTAGGGATCAGAAATTGCCGAGAAGAAGCTTGACGGGTGAATTTAGGTGGTATTCGATGTGAGTTCTTCATTAAATGAACTGGTCTTGGTTAGTAATCAGCCAATAAGGCTATGGAAAGTCATGATTTTATTTATTAAAACACCTCTTGAGAGTTCTAGTCTAATTTTCAATAGCTCGTAATAGATGAAACAAAATGAGATTGCGCACTACGTACAAACGTATGGATAGTGAATTCGAGTCCCCGCAACGAAATTACTGATCTTAAGTGTGTGCTGGGAAAAGTATGTAAATGTCTTCGTCCATGGTGCTCTGCGTGAACGGAAAGAACAATAATAAACTAAGAATTACACTCATTAGAGACGATAATAGATGGATTGGCTAACTGATTCTGCGGAAACCTTTGTTCTAGAGGATCACAGTTTGGAGCGTCAAAATTTTTAAGGCATCAAAGTTTATATACTTTCAATCACTGTTTGTGTAAATAGGTAAAGCTAAATGAAAAAATGAGGAAAGAATCGATAACTTGTTAGGCAAAAACTGTTCGGATTGACTCATTTTATAAATTGAGATGTTACTCGTTATGCAATACTCATCAGTGCACTAATCTCATAGTGACAACTGACTCTGCACTACCCCAAATGCCAACTAATAAGATTACGAAATTTGCTCACTTGGTGATCAAGAATTACGAAACAGTCAAATGTCCCCACTCATGGCTAAAGCTTAGTTTTTATCTTTTACGCGAAATTGTTTTTTCACACGTCCTTTTTACCATCATTCATTTATGTTAGCAAAATAGAATAACTACGTTTACTGCATCTTAGTAACTCTTGTCATTATATTTAGAATTCACATTCATAAATTTAATGCGTAACCCTTCCTTTACGATTACTTCTTCTACAAATGCTTCGTACTGCAAGGCAAATACCTTTTGAGATAATTAGGCTATTTAATTGGAATAACTGCTCCATAAGATTTTAGTTTAAGTAAAATGGTAAACGAAATTTTGTTGTTTTATCTCCTGAAGCTCAATATATATGCGTCTGTTATAAGGGAAAAGGCTAGTTTCTTTACAGAAATTGTTATGGGTATTTTTTACGCTTTTTCTAAAATACTTTCAGCATTTTTCCTCTTTTAAAATGCCTGTTTAAAAATGCTCTTTTAATATTACCATCTGAATATAAGAAATTGCGTTATGATTTCTCACCTTGCAAATTAAAGTCATCATACAGATTTTTAAGGGTAAAATATTATTTGAGTGCTAAAGATAACAACAATCTTCCTCATGCCCCAAGGTGATTTCTGGTTGGTCAACGATACAGCGTAGGTGTTAACTTAACCTTAAAAATCTCAGAAATGCTGTCGAGGATTTCTTGTTCCCCAATTCTTAAGGTAAATAATTTCATGAGTCTATTTAATGTTTTAAGGAATCTTTCATCAGACACGGGCCCCAGGTTCAACATAAAATCATTTTGCCGTTGGTTTCTCATAAGATCACTCTTACCACACTTAAAAGGTAATGATAGGAAATATTTCCGTAATACTATGATTCTTATTGAAATAAATGACTAACCAAAGATATTGCCGATTTCGTCTGTTGGTTTACAGAATAAATAGAAGGACTGAGAATAATTATGGTCATTTTGGCCAATTTAAACCCCAACAAAGTTCGATATTTCGCAGTTTACTCGGTGTAACTGGTGTCGTTGGTAGTGCCGCTCTGATACTCTATTTGAGCCCGCAGGTCCGCGATTATGTTACACAAACTGTCCCTCAACTCAAACCTTACATAGACGGTATGAATAAAGCACTTGATGATTGGAAAATGAATTCGTCTTCACTTACATCTTTCGAATTCCCAACAAAGAAGTAAGTTAAACTGCATTCTTCATTGCTTTGGCTCGATAGTTTTCAACTAGTTGAATTGCGATAATTATAGTAACTAAGTTCCGCAAAAATCTTTTTGTTGCATTATTTTTTTAAGAGATCTTTTTCTTTAACTTTCTTCAATTTGATTTCATTATAACGGTGAATATTGTACACATTTTTTATCTACGATTTTTTATTTGTAGGGTTTCTGTGGTAAGTTATAGTTTTATTATTTTGTTCCATGTTTTCATTTCACCTGAAGTTCAATTCGGAAATAATTTAATTCGTATTCGATAGACCTCGGCTGCACTTAATTGCTTGCATAAATATTTTTTATTTCAACAATTTTCTTCTACATCTTCTATTAGAGTCCTGAGGATACTGGTGTTGGGCCAACTTTTCCTTCAACTTCAGATGCCATGCGTATCGTTGGGGATGTGAAGCAATCGATCAAAGGTTTGTCAAATTTAATTTAATAGGAAATGAAACCGTTTCATTAGTTTCCTATCCTTATGATAGGCTTAAATAGCTGTTTCGTTATTTACTTTTCTTCATACGCTGGATAGGGTGTAATTTTTGCATTGACACTCGGTTATGCTGTCTTATGGTAATTCTTGACTATTTTGGCCTCCTTTGCAATATATTCTACTTATTGTCCTTAAGTAGCTTTATTAATACATTTCCACTGTACAGAATTATCATTCTATTGGGTTGGCAACTAAGTCATTGCCGTTTTTGTTGACAGATTCACTCTATACTTTCTTTTGTCTTGTTAACGTGGCCAGAGCATCTAACCTATATTTTTTTCTTACTGTATGGGCTTCTAGGTTAACTAGTAAAAATTCTTTTTTGTTTAGTTCTTTAGTTTTGTTTTTATCCCACTTTAAAAATGAAAGAACAGGACATGCACTTCCGACACATTTTATTGTATTACTTCCGAAAAGGCAAGAACGCATCGCAAGCACAAAAGAAGTTATGTGCCGTATATGGAGATGAAGCCTTAAAAGAAAGGCAGTGTCGAAATTGGTTTGAAAGATTTCGTTCCGGTGATTTTTCACTGAAAAATTCACAACGATCTGGCCGCCCAGTCGAAGTGGATGAAACCCATATCAAGGCCATTATCGATTCAAATCGTCACAGCACAACACGAGATATTGCAGAGAAGCTCAATGTGTCGCATACATGCATTGAAAAAAAAATTAAAAACCCTTGGTTATGTCAAGAAACTTGATTTATGGATCCTTCACCAGTTAAAGGAAATTCATTTGACGCAACGGATTAGCATCTGTGATTCGCCGCTACTGAAACGCAATGAGAATGATCCATTTCTGAAGAACCTAGTTACTGGCGACGAAAAGTGGATAGTTTATAGTAATGTTACTCGCAAGAGATCATGGGTGAAGCAAGATCAACCAGCCCAAACAGTATCAAAAGCAGAGATTCACCAAAAACAAAAAATTATGCTGTCAGTCTGGTGGGATCACAAAGGAATTTTGTATTTTGAAGTCATGCCGCAGAACCAAACGATAAATTCAAATGTGTATGTTGAAGAACTCGAAAAACTGAAGGATGCAATTGAAGATAAGCGGCCGGCATTATCAAATCGGAAGGGTGTTGTTTTCCATCATGATAACGCAAGGCCCCCCCATATCTTTGGTTACTCGGCAAAAATGATTGGAACTGGGTTGGGATGTTTTGTCACACCCACCATATAGCCCTGACCTTGCGCCTTCGGATTACCATTTGTTTCGTTCCATGCAAAACTCTTAAAATGGTAAAATTGTTAACAACGCGGATGATGTCGGATCACACCTAATTCAGTTTTTTAATAGCAAAGACCAGACATTTTACGAACGGGGAATTTTTACTCTGCCAGAAGGATGGAAAAAGGTCATCGACAAGAACGGCCAATATCTAATTGAATAAAGTTATATTTTTAAACAAAAATTCCGAATTTGCCTTCTTATTTGAAATCGGCAATGACTTAGTTGACAACCTAATATTTTCCTATACGTGTCGACAAATGATTTTAACTTTTTAGACTACCATCATGAAATCAGACAGAATTTGTTGAAATTTGTTTTGATTTTATTGCTTCACTTAATTTAGTGGCATTTAAATGTTCTCCTCTGGAGTAGATTCCTCCAAAATTTAGAATGCTTATTTAGTCCTTACCTTTGACATTGCTATTGCTCAAAGTATGATAGAGTGGAATAGATGCTATCTGACTGATGCAATTGCTGGCCACTATCTCACCTTTGGTAAGTAATTGGAATTTTTAAGTCTTTATAAATGGCACTATCTTTGTAAGTTTGGATATTGTGGCCGATTTCTTTTTGGCCAAATTTTTAATAAAGAAATCCTTATTATCTTGACAACGTAAAGGTGCACATTTGGCCCTTGTTTCCTGATGCCGTTATCTTCATTGACCGTCATGGTTATAAGAATCTGTTTAGACCTTGAATGATAACGAGATTGTAATAATGATTATGTACACTTGGTTATAGAGTTATCGTGCTCTTGATCGACCTATTTCATATGTTTAGGCTCGGAAAAAGTTATTGCCGAAGCATCGAGGCAATTTCATTAATTCGTGCCATGGTGAAGAAGATATGTTATTCTGTTTTTTTTACCAAGTACCTGTTCTTTATCCTACTGTCTTAACAAGTAATTTTCTGATGTCGGTGCACATTATGTGGTTAATTAAATTACTTGAATTAAAAATGTGGCATTTTGAGTGGTTCTCATTTTGAAGGTAGTGTTTGAGTCCAATTTGTTCCATTTTTTCTTGAATTATATGATTAATTAATTGACTTAGACACTTGTGCAAGCTTTGCAAGTGTAGTTTCCAAGCCCTTCTTAGATTTAAGCTTCTAAAGAAGCGTTCTATGCTTCTGTTTACGTGTTTATGAGATCAGCCAACGACAGAAAACCTTCATGAATTTCGCATTAACATTTACTATAAAGCTATTCATATGCTTAATGAAGCGTTTGACTGAAGGATTGCATTTCTCTTGTTATTTTTCTTTGGTCGTCATGATATTTAAGTGAGCTTACTCTTTATTAGATGTTTCTTCAATGGAGTTTACATAGTCTTTGAATAAGAATTATCCAAGTAGTGATTGATCGTGATTGAATATATTATTTAAATCCCTTCTACTCTGGTCTAGATATCGAATCTGAAATTCACTTAGCCATTGCCCACACTGAAAAGGCAGTCAGCGACGCCTTGGCGGATCTTCGTGCTCTTCATACTGTTACCGGACGTCAGTTGAATGATCAACAAGACGCTCTGGTAAACCAGAAACTTTACTTAAATAATTTTAGTAGATTGCTTTAAATTGACGTCTCTTTCTTAATTAGGGTAAACTCGAACTTCCAAGCTTCTTAAGAGATAAAGTGGGCGCAGCTGAACGCAAGGCCAAAGAGAGTCATCAGAATGCTCAGTAAGTTGAAACATTGTCGTTTACGTTATTGTTCCTTATTCTGATCTTATAATTCTAGCACTGTTATTTCCTATCATTAGAAGACAACTAGCCAAATTACGAGCTCTTCTGGACTCGGCCAAGGAAAATATGTCAGAGAAGGAGAAAGAGTTGGTTAAATCGGCCATTGTTCGCTACAGTGATTTAGCCTATGATCTCGCTGGTTTAGTCACTGAGGTAATGGCTTTTATTTATACATTTACTTCACAAGCTAGCGTGCTGCTATTCATAATGTAACGCCTTATTTCGTATTTTCATTTCATTCTGTTGCCAAGGTTTGAGTCGAGATAACAAGCATTATTTATCAGTTAACCCATTGCTGTTGGCCATGATTTTAATACGTCCACTTAATAAGCCACTGATTTTTTTTCCGCCTCAACAACAAAATGCCATTAAGGATAAAAATTTGCTATGGAAAATATTTATTCAATTTATGCTAACCAACCAACAAAATTGTTTCGAATTTTATTATTTTGTTCATCTTCCGGATCGTTGCTTTGTACTCTTTCATTTACTAATCCTGATTGGTATTTATGGCTTGCGTGGTTAGAGGAAACGCTTAAATCATGCCATATATCATTCATGTTGTTACAACACCTTCATTAACCCATTAGAGGCCTCTTCAGTCGCTTACTATGTACGGCCCCATTAGTAATATTATATTGTAATACTTTACTTCATATATATATATATATATGTTTTGAATAAAATGGCCATTTAACCTTTCGATTCTTGTCCCTTCCTCTTACTATATATATTGCCCTTATTGACACACTAAAAAAAACAAACATTTAAATGATAAAAAATACGTTGAATCGAGCAAGTTTATATGCATGTTGTCTTCAATTCAGGTGAAATTAACAGAAATTGGGTTCCCCTTTTAATATATTGCGACTAATTACGTTTGGCTCTTATTCAGGGGCATATATGCAAACTTTTTCTCTTTAAAGGATAGTGCACTTTTCTACGAAGTTCCCTTATCTCTGAGGCGATTGAGTTAGATTGTTGTGGTACTATTATGCTAGGTCATTCCATCTAAAGGTCGAAAAATCTTTCTCACTTTTGTGGAATATCAATTCTTCGTTTAATTTTAAAGCACATTTGAAAGAGCAGGATACTCACCAACCCTATCGGGGGGGGGGGGGGGGGGGTTTTTTANTGGGGGGGGGGGGGGGGGAGGTATTTTATAATTCATCCCGCTTAGGTGAACAGCTTTCTTAGTTTCATATAGTGAGTAACCTCGCTGTAGCATCCTGCTTTTGGTTGGCAAGAATTGCTGTTTTACTTTAGTGGATGTGTGTATGTCGACGAACATGGATTGTCATACCCATGTACTCTGTTGGTTACGCCTCATGGGATCAAATATCCATCTGCTTAAGAGATTAGATGGGAGTACTTATTCAATATTCAACTGCTGCTCTTCGGCGCCAATCAATGTTATTCAGTTAGAAGATAAATATGGTTTTTTATTACGATGTGCAAACCTCGAAATATTTCCAGATATCAAATGTTTTTGTTTGCCATTTTGCTATTTTCATATTTTCTGCCTTTCATAACTTGAAGCGCCGGATATGCTTTTGGATGGACGGGTAAATGGCTTCCCACGATTAATCTCCATGCATAGATTAGAAATCCCTGCCTTTATTCGGACATTACATCACTAACTTGTGGGAGTGGGTTTGGTTGGAAGAGCGAAGTATTGGAAATATTGTATTGACATTTAGTGAGGCAGCATCCACTTGGATCTGCGTCTGTTCGGTCGCTTTTTACTTAAATGTCACTTCCCTAATCTCTGTGTTTGATGGTCTGTCCTTAATACCTGACGGAAATATTACTGACTAAATTGGGTGGTTGCAAGTAGAATGGCCGACATTTATATAAGTTCTTCCGAAGGCTAAAACCTGTTTTAAACTGGTGGCCACTAAGTTAGACTTGATATTTTCATTTGAGAATTTGTAGGAAATACGCTCCCTCAATTGAGCTTACTTGCACTAACTAACCACTGTACAGCCGTGAAGATAGTAGTGTTACCACCATCCCACTGCAATGACAGTATGTTTTATGATCCACGTTTTATGCTAAGGGTCGAAGTAGAAGTTGTTTACGAAGCATGCCATAACAAATGAGCAAGTGAATGCAAACCAGAGTATTTCTCTTGTTGCCCTCAAAGCTAAGTTTCAATTGCACTTCTCAAATGTCCCAAGTCACTAACAAAGCTACCAAAAATCCCCACTTTTTAGGCTTCAAATTGTTAAACTCCTATTTCGTTTCACTTTAATAATTACAATAATGACAGAAATTAGAGGGCAATTGTCATCGTATATTTAATAAAAAAACAATCTGATCATTTCTTTTTTTAGTTAACTCGAATCATTGCACTTACTTCCTATTGAATTTTTGGTCATTATCATTTTGTTTCGATATCTATTTTAAAACCTACATTTAAGTCTTATTGGTAAGACCGCAATCAAATCCCCGATTCGATATCATTTAAGTAATCCAACTTAGGAAATATTAACATCCACAACTGTACAATCTTGGTTTTAAATAGCTTTTTGCAATCATAATTACTCATTTATTTCCCTTTATCCCTCTTTACACTTTCCCCACCCACCCACTACTTTTGATCGTCATTTGATTTCATTAATACTTCTATTAACACTTCAGAGATCGAATCGCTTTTGTGCTATAGAACGATTTCGTTACTTCGTTGTTTTCTCTGTTGTTACTACTGGAAAACAATGAATGCTTACACATCGGCCCTGAAAGGGTTCGTTTTATGGTAGGTACAAGCTGGCGAATATTCTCCTTTCCTTTTGGGATATTGCTATAATGAGAGCTGACAGCCTCAATTATTCACGAATCGCCCAAAGGACATAATTGAAGACTAATTAAGGTAATAATTCGGTTAACCAGTTATGAGCTCTGTATTTCCTAATAAATGGCGCAAATACTGTGAAATGAAGTGAATATCTGTGAGTTCATGAATCTGTGACACCAGAAATGCCTGGGATCTATTTAACAATAAGCCAAATAAATGGCGACCTTAATCGAGCGTTAAGTGCTTATCATCGTAAGGGATTTTGCTGTGAGAATTTTCAGGTTGTTGAATAGTGATGACCTCTGGTCCGTGCGTGCAATTGTTTAGAGCCCCACTGTAGTCGATGAATATAAAGAATGATGAATTCTACTTACCCTCTCTCTCTTTATCATTTGGAAGTAATTGACTAAAAATTTTTATCCTGGGCATCCATTGTGATCAGTAGTTAAGCGAAACTCGAGTTGCACTTTACCCAGTGTTTTAGCCTTATCTATCTCTTCTCTTTAATTTTTGTTCCCTAAGTTAAGTCCCCTTTACTGACTATTGTATTTCCTTGCCAAAGTCTTCTTCATACAATCATGTTTGAAATCTTGAAAATTTTCTCTCAAACGAAATTCTATTATTAACAGCACTGTTCACAACCTCCTGGTGAGCTTTGCTTTAATTCGCCTTTTGTTGAAATGTATCTTTATGGTACACCAGGTATACTTTCAATGAGTTTTAAACGTCTCTTTTTTGTAATGTGTTACTCGAATAATCCTTTATAGGAGAAATTCTTTTTTTTCGATATTTCACATTTAATCATTTCATTTGTATGATTAGTCTTGTCACAGACTTAAATGAGAGTTGCCCACGTCGTTGTCTGCATCCTGTCTGTTTCTCCTTTCTGCATCCTAAATCAATATTTTGAAAAACTTCAGCATTCAAAGAGAATTATTTCCCAACTTATCCACTCATATGCTTTCTATTAACACTTTTGCTCCTCAAGTACATTCATCCCCCCCCTCCCTCGGAGTGCAAGTGCTTTCTTCCTGAACTCTCAATTTTGGTGACAGGACAGCGAATGGATACGTGTGCAACCCATCACCCTGTTTGAAAAAATTAAATCTGTTAACTGAAATTAGAAATACTTGCTGCATAGTACAGCCTTTAAAGAAACATCTCTTTGTTAATTAAATTTATGTATGTGTGCTCATGTTCTGTCTTTGCCGTCCATATTCAGTCGGTAGTCCCTTCGTTAAAATTGACCGCTGTAGGGTGGTCTATACCACGAGACGACCTAAGATCACCAGCGGTAATCAGGAAACTGGTGTCTAAGGTGTCCCTAATCCCATAGTCACATATGATATCGAGACGTTAGCCGGAACAAGCCGTTGAATAATAAGGATCGGAGTAGCCTCTATTGTTGGGGGGCTAGTTTCAGAAAATAGTTTTAATGTAGGTGTATAGGTAGGTGGTTAGGGGGGCTGGAGAAAAAATGCATCTTGATTCTGTTAATGTCTAGATATGATTTTTTGTTATCTTGTCATAAAGAGCCTTCGTAAAGTTAAAATTCAATGAAAGGGAATGTTAGTTTTTCTCAGGCGATTCTGAGTTATCGATAAATGATAGCCAATTATGACCAAATTACAACATTATTAATTTTAAATTAAACTTGTGTATAAAACCCTTGTAAACGTATGCATAGCTACATCGGAGGAGAAGACAGTTTGAAGAAGTGTTGGGAGAGTTGGTCTATGGGAATTGTAATGTTTTATAATTCTCCCAGTTGCTTTTTCAAGGCATCTTTTATAAATGATTCGCACTGATTCTCTGATGCCAATACCGAGAATGAAATTCTGACATGTGACTTTGTACATCTACGCATTTTATAGACCTAAGCAACCGGAAATTGGGTGCTTTGAAAGTCTTCGTTTTTTATTGCACCTGAGGAATATTGTCCCTGCCAATTGTGTAAGGACATTTCCGTCTTTTCGGTAAACATTCGCATTCACTTGGTAGCTTTGCACTTCCTTACTTCAGCGCGATTTTCTTTATGATTGGGATTTGTGCTATTAGGGACAGGACTTCTTTTGTACCTCGGTCTATTTTTTGTTAGCCATGATTTTGTGTTTTCTTTATTTTATTGTTCCCTAAAATCTGATGGCCCAAAGGAAACCTTAGCATAAGAGAATTGAGAAGACTTCATAGGAGCCCCAAGGCAAAAGTTTTTTTTTATGAATTTAAGTAACTAACTTATAAGTAGTATCTATATACACATTTTAAAAATTCAGAAGGTTAGATGAGGAACTATCCAGAAAGTCAGTAAGGTTATCCCTCTAATATAATCAGATTGTAATGGATAATTATCGAATGGCCCACAAAATCGAAAGCTCTCCTAGTAATTGTTTTTTTTGCTAAAATCCAAACTTATCTTGCCATTATAAGGGGTTTTATCTCAAGTAATTATTTTTTAACGTCTCTTTCCTTGTTTCTTACTTACATTTTTTCTCCTCTACATTTTGTTCTTACCGCTTTAATATTTAATTTCTGTTTGGGGGAAAATATTGGTAATGTACTTTTTCTATCATAAGTTACGCCTTCAGTTGCTGTTGACATTGACAAGATTGGGTTCCCGGGGGTGTGGGGGGGGGGGGGGGGGGGGCCNGGGGGGTGGGGGGGGGGGGGTGAGTGGCCTCTTGACTATTGACAATGAAGTTGCTTGCTTCATTCCCTTTTCATATCAGACAAATTTAAATCACCACGTGACGAAGGATGTGTAAATTATTATCGATGTTAGTCGCTACTGATGTACACTGGACTGACCCTGTAACATTACTAATGTCCACTGGGATGTGCCTTGCCCACGGCTGACGTGGATCATGTGGACTAAATGGGAAGAAGACGAAAGTCTCGTAGACCAAAGTCGATGCCTTCTTAAGCAGATGCAAACGCTTATTATAAGGGCAGGGATATCTGGTAATCACTGGTTGACTAGAGTCAATGATACATTGAATGGTTGTCTGATAAACGGTAAACCGCTGCTCGAGGAATACAACGTGCAGATTTTTAGATTTCTTAAAGCCTGAGAAACGTGTTACTTTTCCCTTACTACAGCATTATCTTCCTTATATTTTAGGTTCGTCGTCTCCAAAACCAAAGCTCAGTTTACCTGAACCTCGCTAATGCTGATAACGAAGTCAAGGTCGCATTACAGGACAAACTGAATGCAATTTTGCCCAAATCTCTGTCTAATTTGCGTAAAGGTATGTTGTCTTTCAGTACATGGATCAATGAACAGGGAGCTATGAGCTAGGTGGGCCATGGCCATTAACGTTCATGCCAGCAATCATGGGTTAGATGAGCATTAGCGTGCATCCAGTGAGGGGAGGTATTCTTCATTATGCTACGCTCTACTCGTGTCAATAGTCAGAAAGCGCTTTCTTAAGTGGACTTGCTTGTTAAAAAAATCATAGTTGGTAAGTAAAATTGTGATTGGACTTGGGATTAAACTGAGTAAGAATTGCTATTCCTTCCGGTTCATACCTCCTTCAGCCGGCTTGTATTTTTCACTTCAACGTGTTGAGAAGGCTGGCAGATTTTCTTTGTCCATAATCACTGATAGTACTTCATACACCAACTAACTCCCATCTCGCGGTGTTGTTGTGAATAACTAGGACATTCACATCGGCAATCAAATGAATGAAAAGGGCAAAGTGCATATGAGCGCAAATCCCCACGAATAAAAAATTGGGTTCCATTCAATTAAGTCAAATCTCCACTCGAATTTATAACCCTTACAAGTTTCCATTCTCTTAAGCAATTTTAACTCTGACAGCTATAAAGTTAGGACATGCAAATGAAATGTCTAATAAAAGTGTAATAAACAAATTCTTGTAAACATAATTTTTCTTGTACTTGTTTATAAATGTATGCATATATATACATATACATACATATATACATACATACATACATACATACACATATAAATACATATATACTTTTATACATACATATATACATACATATTGGGGTCTGTAATTTGACGGTTCTAGCAAGGGAATTTAGCTGTTCCAGACTAACACTAGTATTTTAAAATTGTAGATATCTCACTTAGTGCAGTTGAAGGTGCAAAGCTAATTCCATGGCACTGGTGATCATTTTTTACCCTTTAATCATTCTTTGGTCAGTAGAGTGCAACCTTTTTACTAATTAAAGTTAGTTATTTAAAATATATGTTGACATGCTTAAAGCTTCATTCTTTGCCTAGAAGCACTTTTTATAGTTAGGATTTTGTTGCAAATTAAATAGGGCTAAGCATTAAGTAGTAGGTAGCCTATTAACACGATTCGTGGTAATCGGCAAAGGTACTACAAGTATCATAGGCCCCTTTCTCCTTTTGTGTAATGCACAAAAACGATTCCCCCTCACATATACACACACAGGGAGAGAGAGAGAGAGAGCACGAGCTCTGTTTGAATTACAAATGAAGATATCTAGCTGCTGACAGGCCCGATACTACTTGCTTTAAATTATTTTGACGGGAAGGCTCTGTCCCCTCTTTGTTGCCTTTATTCGTATTTGTTAACTTAATAAGGTTAAGGTGTGATTTTTATTGTCCACAATTTAATTAATAATTTTATTTAATTTTGGGAAGCGGCTGATAGAGGGAGTCTATTGAGTTGTGAGACGCATCTCAAAGTAGCTTGAGTTTGTCAATATTTAATAAATGTATAGTCAACACCCAAAAATTATTATTTCATGACCGCCCCTTGAATTTCCGAAGATGCTCGTTTATAGTGTTAATATCTTTTTGAATCTACTTTTCCTCCGCATAAAATTGTGGTTTTATGCTTATTTTACCATCGATTCGTCCGGTTGATTTCCCCTGATCTTCATTAGCAAATCGTAAGACTAATGGGGATTTACTTGAATAAATATCAGCCAATCTCTGACTGTGAGTGTTAATTGAAGCAGGTCTCCCTTAATGCCCATTGTGCTAATTACATGTCAGAATGCAATTTTTCCCTTTAGCTTGTGAGTCATCTGGTAGAATTATGATTTCTGAAAGCAGTCGATATAATTCCCTCTCACCCGATAGATGATCAGCTGAAATTAGCAGCATATGCACCCATAAACAGAATTGTAAATCCAAAGATGGAAATGGTCTCTCAGGGCACAACCTTTTTTGTCTATTTATTTCCGGTGTGAGTTTCTTTCCGCTCTCAGGCGAATGCAGACCTAATAATTGACATCTACAAGCGTCACCAAGGTGCGTTTGTGACTGAGTTTGAAATTGGCGGAACGCTCCTAATTGCTCACTTGATTTTTTTGCTTTTGGAGTTAAAATCGTAAATTAAAAGCCGCCTCCCTCTGGGAAGAAAATGTAAAGTTAATTATTAATCTTGTCAATGGAAAGTACTAATTGTTATATTTTTAACTTGACTTGCCTCCTTTCAATTAGGAATGAGGCATCGTCTGTTCCACACTTTTCAACATTCTTTAAAATATGACATGCCTTCGCCTTTTGTACATTTATCAGTTCATTCCCTCCTTGCAATCTTCTCTAAATGATTCTTTAATAGATATTGAGGCAATGTCCTGCCGAGGTGTTTTTTTATTGAATAAGAAGGAGTCACTTCTCAAAAAACCCAAGTGATTGTTGAAAAGGGATACTTGCGCGATATACACAGCCTAGTTTTGAATTCTCCTTGACATTATTTTCGTGTGGTTTAAGCTTCACAGAATTTGCATTTCCTAATTTTTTCTTCCACCGATTTGCCGATTGCCTTTTAATGATACTAGAGTAATTTATCCACGCTTGCTCAGAACTTGAAATCCCGCCTAAGATTGATCCGAATCGATCAACTACCCCTACTCTTCTACTGTTGTAATCTAGATGTATCGTTGTCCTGTCTCAATCTTGTGGTTATCTTGCCTGTTATTGATTTTCTCGATGTATTTGTGAACTTATTCTCAATCTCAAATCCACATATTCGGCATCATATCCATCGTTTTTCTCCCCTTTCCCTATCTCGTCCTTTCGCTCGGGCCATCTTTTATATAACTTGTTCTGTGGATGGTTGTCTCTATTCTCGTCGCATTCTGTGTTCCCTCTCTCTCTATCTTGTTTGTGATGAATTGGACCAGTTTAGAAAAGTTCCACATTCTTACCCTATGGATCCCCCGTATCCCATAATCTGACTTCCTTGGATATTCCGTCTTTTATTTTCTATTATTTGTTGTATTTCAGGGATTATTGTTATTTTTTGAAATACCTCTCACTTAGTCGGCTCGATTTTCGTCGAAGGGATGCTTTTCTTGATGCTTTGATGAGATATTTGTGGAATTGGCTGAATTAATTCCATTATGAATTATGGTCTCCCTCTCAAGTGATCCTGTCCATTAAGGAGGTCACATCTCCGATGTATCGAAGCATTAGATACAGAAAGGCATCAATTTAATGTGTTCATATAGGGGTGGGGGTTCGGGGTTATCTAGTTATTTGAGAAGGAAAAGTTAGGTCCTGTTATGTGTGAGCACATTTTGTCAACGTCATCACAAGTGGACGAGGAAGGCGAATATATTTAATGTTAACACCAGGCACGCATGTTTGTGTTATAACCTTAAAACCTCCCAAATTAGCCAAAAATCTCCGAACTCTATGAAAACGCCCAACTGCCTTATAGGTGGTAGGCCTTACTCCAAATTTAAGCAAGGTAACGTCCTTGCTATCTTGCTCATTTAGACAAGTATTCATCCTTATTAATTACTTTACTATTACTTGTTTGTTTAAGTCCTCTTGTATAAATAGCTTAATTAAGGCAAATTAAGCAGGGTTATTTGACTGTTCATAGTAAGAGATGCTCATATGGCATAAAGAAGCCAACTTTTCCCGTTCAACTGAATTCCTGTTTTAGATATGGCGATTATTTTGCTTGTTGCTTACTAAAAGTCAAACTATATATTACAAATTTAAGCACTAGATTCACGAAGTAGTCCGATTGAGGTCACTTGAACTAGTTTAATAGGGAGTGAGTTCAACATAAGCGCCACATCTGAGTGTATGTTGATCAATCAAGGTGTTCTGGATGCCATTTCCTTTGTGCCTTAGTAAATATTGCGAATTCGCCTATTTTAATTCCAGTCAAGTCGTTGTCACTGTGTAAGCACTGATGTTGGTTTGTAACCTTATTCTTCATTCACAGTGGTTTGGTTTTTCTTATTCATTGCAGAAGATGGTTCTGAAATGACACTGGAGGAAGTGAACTCTCTCCTTGCCATGTCTTTGGAGCGAATCGATAAGCTACAGGAGAGTCTCAAGACCAGTGGTGAGACCGCCAAACAACACATCGCCGCGGCTATCCAAAAGTATAAAATGGAAGCTGATCGAATCGCTCAGGAAGCTGTAGATCGAGCTATTCATCGTGAACAAGTCAAACGCGAGTTGGAGCGCTTTGAATGGGTACAATTTTTTCTCAAATATATATATATATATATATATATATATATATTCAGTAGCATTTCAGTTGGTCATTTCGAATGCCACTATGGTTGCCTTGGTAGCGAAATTGTAGTTCTAAAAATTCCCCTAACTTGGCAAGCAAGCAAAAAGCTTTATTCTATTTTTTTTGCGTGGAAGAAAACACCGGTGAACTAAGTCATGCTATTGCTGCGGCAGTTTTCGTTGTCTGTATATAACTTGATACTTCTCTTTCCTTCAATTCTGTGGCACTTGCTATCAAGCCCACCTTTTTTTCTAGAAGTAAATCGAATTAAGCAGCCTCACTTTCCACCCTCTGTTGCACCTTTTCCCCTTCCTTGCTACTTCATTGCCAAGGCTTCCGATAGCGCTCTAGCGAATGCCTAACTCGCTTCATTAACAGTATTCTTATAAAATATTCTTGTTAAATTAAGTGCGGTAGCATCGCTAGTAATTTCTCAGATTTACCGTTCGCCCCCCCCCCCCCCCCCCCCTCGATAATTTTAGAGAAGGAGATGTGGGGAGTCTAAGTGAGCATTACCTATTTTCCTTATCAAGGGGAGTTCGTTGATGCTCAAGCCAGGTTTCACCTCCAGTCAATCTTTCTTATCCTAAATGGTGTAAGAGGGGAGGGGGGGGGGGACCTGAAATCGTTGAGTAGCAGACATTAAAAAGGACTCTGCCTTCCTTAAAAAGGCTACCATACATCTCCTGGGGGGGGGGATGGCAAATGGAATTTAAAGAATTAACTTTTAATGCCAATACCATTTGTTTTCATTTAAGTTGGAAAGGAACTGAACAATCGTTTGTATCTTCACTTCTTTACTTTCCATTATTTTTTTTTTGGGGGGGGGGGTAATTTTTCTTTCCTTTTTTCTCTGCTTCCCAAAGTATGCCGAGGCTGTTGTGAAGGTGTTCGATTTTTGAAAACAATAATAAAAATGCAAATTAACCGAAGAATATCAGTCGCCCCTTCTTTGACCGTTTCATGTTCCTTTTATCTTAGTATGGGGTTAAGATATAACGTTGATCACGCCAGTATATTAATGGTTCTCTCTCTCTCTCTCTCTCTCTCTCGAATTCATAAGGGCATCTTCCCTTTTCACCTTTCTTCTATCCTGTCTAAACTATTTGACCAAGGGCAAGCCATTCCTCTCTGGTTAAACAGCTATATATGTATATCCCCTTACAAATCTGCTTAAAACTTTTCAACGGCGAATGTTAGGTATCAGTCTTTTCCAAATTAGAACTTCTGGGGTTAAATGGAGGTGAAAATAAAACTAGCAACACTGCTAAAATTCGAAAAAAAGGGAGAAGACAAGAGAGTTCAAGAAAGCTGTCTTAGCAGCGCTGAGGGCAAATCAACACTCCATATGTTGGTACACTTTGGGCACAAATAAGTGAAATTATCTTGATTATCACCACCACTCAGGCATACAAATGGGAAAATTGGCACTTTGTCGGACATGCTTTGTCAAAACCTTTGTGGTGGGCGATTCTTCATTCCACCTATTCGAAAAGGCTTCGAATTACGCTTGCTCAGCAAGTGGACTTATTCTCTTTCCCTTTCACAGCCTACTTTGCGTGTTTGGGACCTACAATAAAATCACCTCCCTTTTTGGATCATCATCATCGTTATCATCACCTGCTACCAAACTGCTGCTATTTTATAGCCATGAACAGAAGAAAAGTCAACAAAATTGTGTCTTTTTATCCACTTGTGTACACTATTCATGAGGGATGTGCTTGGCGCATATTTTTGGCGAAAAACAGTATGCGCTATTATTTTGTTACACCGCGAGGCAAATCTGTTGCGTTGCTGTGGTTTGAAATTTCCCTTTTTTTTCCTAAGGAATACGAGAAAGGATGAATGGTTTCAAATGTGTTCTCTTATATGCGCGTCGTTGGGTTCGTTTTGTGACGATTTTCAACATGGGTTGTTAGGTGTTTTTGCTTGGAGTAGATGCGAATCGAGAACATCTGAAAAGTTAATCATGATGCCACATTTTGGAGCAAATGTGAGTGTAGATGTTATCAAAAATCAGAGGCATAAACTGACTGAAACTATTGTTAATTTCTCAGACATGATGTTGGAAAGCATTAAGGAATCTTGACGCAAGTAAGCAGTCATTCTTATAATCACTTCTTTGGACCAGTGAGATTGGCCAGTGTCTCTGGGTTTCTGTCATTGTCTTTAGGGCTGGACACCGAATCAGGGGGATATTCTCCATTTCCTCCCGTAGATCACACAGGGGGCATGTTGGTTGAGTGTTTAATCCTATTCTGTGAAGGTGCTTCGCCAGGCAATCGTGTCCGTTACGCAGTCTAAGATCTGCAATAGCTTTGATTCTTGGCCAGTCGGTTATTTTGGAGAATGCCACTGTCCACTGCTTCATCTTCGTTCGGGTTTAAGTTTACTTCTTCTTGAAGTCTTGATTTTCCTGATTATGATCTTCATTGTGTGGAAAGACATTGGTCGGTCTATGCCTTGCAGAATTGTAGTCCCCTTCTTAGCAAGCGTGTCAGCTCACTCAATGCTTATAATTCCAGTGTCCGATGATCCAATGAAGAACTTCTGTTTTGTTTTTTCTCTCAGTAACTGATATTCAATTATTGTAAAAACAGTCAAAGTATCTTTTAAATTTATTAATTACTGTAATTCTTTTTATCAATTGCTATATTTTCTTATCAGTATTGTTCCGTACACTACTCTCTTTCTATTAAATTCTATCAATTCAGACACTTGTGCTATTTAGGCTTGTTGTATTGTCTGAAACCTTATGACTTCGCATGGGCAGGTGTATTTCGTATCCGCTAGTGTCTTATCTTACACATCGGATTCGAACCAATGACGCCTGATGTGAGTGAGTTATTGGTCGGAATTGCTGCACCATAGACGATGTAATATTTTATGTGGTGCGCAGAACTTAGTTTCCCATTCCATATTTGCTTCACAGTTCATTTCTCCTTGAAGAATTTTCGAGGCTTTAGAGAAAGCAGGATATCTTCAGTTTCCATGTTTCCTCCACTTTCCTCTTCCCACATATCCATTTCTGAAAACTCACTTTTTTATCTCCTTTTTGGTTGACATTTCAATAGGGAAACATTAATCTTTTCCACAAGTAACTATATTATATATATATATATATATCTGTGGATGCTCTGGGAGAGGGAGCTACTTAAGGTAATGTTGCATTTCTCTGTGTGGTTTTATTGTTATTGTCGTGCAATAAAGAGGGCAAAAGTACACTGAAGGCATCTGGTTCCCTTTGTGAACCCTGTCTGTGTTTTGATAAATACGTGCCCATTGGGCTTCCATGAACTTTACGTTCCCATGGGCTTTTATTTCATTGTTAAATAGCGCCAAGTTATTATTAATTTATTATCTTGAATTATTTCAGTAGAAAAAATGTTGCGATCCATGTTGGTTAAGTAAGCATTATTTGGCGATTTAAAAATTCAAATTTATTCCTTTATTGTTCTTTTTAACGGTCATTGTAGACGCTAAGACATTTGGAGCAAATGGCAGGCTTTATGATGGTTATCATTAGTCCTTCAGTTGACTTCTGGCTCCACAGAGTGGAGAAATATCAAAGTCACCAAATGTGGAGTGGGGGTACAGAAGAGTGATTCACGGGTGTCAAAGAGACAGACAGACAGACAAAAAAGTAAAATGAGCACTGTATAAGTAGTCGAATATCGAAATACAGTGGGGCTGATGGTTGTTTGAAGTGAGAAGTCAACTGCCGGTTTCTAGGCTTTTTGCCGTGTGGTAATACGTTGCCCAGGGTGCACCACGTGGAGATAAGTCTATCGCGCACCCCACGTTACGAAATTCGTAATATATTTGTAGAGCAGAAGAGGTACATATAACCTCATCTGACAGCCAGGTTAAAGTTCATAATCGGTGGACATATTTCTTCAACGAATTTCAAAATTACGCACTTCCAAAGCCATTATGATTTGAAAAATTATTCTCACTAAGATACGGTAATAATTTGAGACAAGAATTTACTAAAAGCTGGAATCATGAATAATGGTTTTTTTAGGTATTGCAATCACCTCTTAAGTTCTTTTCAAATATATCCGAGATTTTAGTTCCCGGGGAATGATTGATCTCACTTGCTACCCCCCCCCTCTCCCCCGCCTAAGCGCTTGGTTCAAGAAAACATATGTTCGAGTTAAAATAAGCTCTATTTATTCACAGTAGGCCTGTGGGCGTAAACGCAATTATCTCTTGACTGAATACACCAGTAAAATATTTGATCGCTAATTTACTTGCCACTCGGGACCAGAGTTTTAACCCCCTTACTGTTTCAACTTCTTTTATCGCCTTCATCGCCATTAATACTATTGCCTAAGGAGGCTGAACTCACAATGAATGAATGAATTAATTAATTAAGACGCCGTACGGATTCAAAGAACATGAGAATATCCACTTGTGCTTATGAATTAAGGCCATCATGTGGAGGTTGGCCATTTATGAAAAGTTGTTCCTTTTGTGCTGGCATTTGTTTGATGTGATTGTTCGAATCACTTTTGTTAGGCTCACTTGACAACTGCTTAATTAGATTTCAGAAGTGGTGTATATTCCTTCGCCTCATAAAGCTTCCCAAGCATTTTGAATTGGGGCACTCTTTTTTCTTCGACACTCATCTTGAGAGCAGAGGAGTGTAATGTCTTGGAGGCGCTGACGAAAACCATGTATTTTGTCAAACCTTCTTCTCACTTACTTTGAATATCAGGTTCTGTTAACTGCTGAGCCGTCGCTTACTTTTGGTTTTGGTTTCTATTATCGTTGCCCTTAAATAAGCTTCTCGAGTTCACTCTCATTCTTCTTACTGCAACATGTAGTCTATTAATCCCCTTCCTATCCTCTCTCCCCCCCCCCCCCCCCCCCCCCCCCCCACCCCCCACATCCAATTTAACTTAGCCAGCTTTCAACACTTTACACTCGTGCCACAGACTAATCATATTCCTACGAGAATTTTTATCCACTTTCACCACAATTCCAATTTCTTCCCAGAGCATTTTAAGGCCAATTCGAAATTTACTTCAACACATTCTCCGTGCTTTTTTTATCTCTCCTCCCAT